AAATTGTTTTTCAAATTAACGAACGAAATCATTTTTTTAGGAAAGGTATGATAAAAATACTTTGTATTTTCAGTTTATGAAAACTAGACATTGTTAAAATTTATTGTAAATTTTAGTTTATATTTGAAAATTTTTTTTTTATGATATGGTAGACAATCAAAGAGAACACAAAAAAACATTGGTATGGAATTGATTTTTACAATCAGGTGCGACTTGTTTTCACAGTACCTGCTGGTAACTAGTTATTATATTTATAAACACACACGCACATATATACAAATATTCTAACTATTTTAAAAATTATCATTTTAGAATTCACTGAGGATACCAAGACAATTATGAGAAAATGTATATACAATGCTGGCCTGATTAAATCTATAGGCACATTAAATCTTCAATTTACTACTGAACGTAAGAAAGCATTTTCAAGCCATTATGATATGATTGATTTTCATCTAATATAATTGGTCTAAATTTTAGCGGAAGCTGCTGCAATTCATTGTATAAATACATTAAAAGATCTCAAATTAGTAACAGGAGGTATATATAATAATGCTTTTTGGCTCACTTTATTTACCTTATAATTTACTAAATAGCATTGTCATTGTATGATTTAACTTAGTAACATACTTGGTTGTTGATTGTGGTGGAGGAACTGTGGACTTAACAGTTAGAAAATTATTACCAAATGAACAAATAGCAGAAATGACTGAACGTTCAGGAGATTTTTGTGGAGGTACCTATGTTGATGATGAGTTTTTAAAATTTCTTGAAAGTAGAGTAGGTAAATCTGCAATGAACATGTTAAAGGAGAAATACTACGGTCAGGTTAATTATTTAATACATAAATATTTTTGTCCTGATATTAAAATTCCATTCACTGGTGAAAAATCCCAATTCAAAACCATTGAATTGGACATTGAGAAAAAATGTCCAGCACTTAAGCAATATGTCACTGGGTCAGAAAGAGATCAATTATCAGATGAGGATGAATGGGTCATTGATCTTGATTTTGATACTGTGAAATCATTTTTTGATCCAGTAATCAACAAAATTTTGAAGTTGATTGAGAAACAGTTATCAAAATGTTCAGACTGTTCAGTGATGTTTTTGGTTGGAGGATTTAGTGAATCAAAATATCTTCAATCTAGAATTAAACAAAAATTTGAAGATAAATTGAAAATAGCAAGTATGTTGGTTGGCTGACCCTTTTTTTTAAAGAAAAAAGAAAAATTAAAGCAATCAGTTAATAAATATTTTGTTTATTATAGTTCCACCCAATCCAATTACTGCAATAGTAAAGGGTGCATGTGAATATGGACTTGATAGGAAGATTGTAAGAACAAGAGTATTATTATGGTCATATGGAATTAAAATTAGTGATAAATGGGTAAGCATCATCAACCAAAACTAAACAGTAATATATTATCAATATTATATTATCCAAATAACAAAACTAACTTTTTTAACATTAGCAAACTGGTGATCCACTATCTCGTAAAACAATAAATGGCCGAATCTACAAGTTTAGTTTGATGGCCAGGAAAGGAACAGAGGTGAATGTTAACAAAGAATTTTCCAGTTATTTGGGCCCTATTAACCCCAATCAAACCAGTGGAACACTTCACTTTTTTTATACCACCAAATATGATGCAACATATTGTGATGAACCTGAGGTGAAAGAATTGGGTAGTTTTGATGTTGATATGCCTGACACTCATTTGGGGCTCAATCGTTCTGTACAAGTAACATTACATTTTGGATCTATGGAAATTGTTGCAACAGCAAAGAATAGAACTACTGGTAAAGTTTATCGCACTACATTTAAAAAAAATATTAGAAATATATATATATATATATATATATATATGCAATATATGAAATTTGAAAATATATATTTTTTTTTTGTACCTTTAATCTGTCAAATAACGTTCAGTGAATCCCTTATCCTTCAGAAATATTTTAAGATTTTTGAAGACTTGTTCTATTACTTCCACCGAATTTATGTATCTTATTGAATCTTTAACTAGAAAATTGAACTTGACTGTCATTGGCGGTACCAAAGTAATATGCTCACATCTGAGGGAACAAAAACCTATAGTATCTGCTTCTTCAGTTTTTTCATTTCCTGCTCTTAGGGAAAGCCTGTCAATAAGATACATAGCCATAGTATGTTGACAAACTGAACTGAGTCTATCTTTTAAATCCAATATGTAATCACACCAAATTTTTTCTATGTGTTTATCGAACTCCCTAGCTTTATCAATTTTTTTCAAGTCACTTTGACCTTTAAGTGAGCTATTGGCTGCTAAAAACGCATATTTATGCTGTCATTTATATTCTCCTTCCAGGTGGTGAGTCAGGTAACTGTGTTATAACGTAGAATACCACCCCAGGAGTGGCCGCAGGTGGAGGAGGGATAAATGCATCTTTACTGATATTAATTGTTATTTGCTTGGAGGTGACTCTCAACTTCAATGAACCAGTTTTAGGATGATCACAATGACCTTTAAACAAAACCAAGTGGCTCAATTCTAAAATTACCAATTTTTTCTTTATGTCCATCTAAGTAACAATAACCATAAAACTCATCAACCCTGGTCTTTTCATCTTTCAACTTTTGTTTTTCCTATTTTGAAAAATTCTTTGTTCCTTTTCTTCTTGTAAATAGTTGTATATAGAAGTAAGATCACATTTTTCAAAATTCTCAATTAGTGGATTTTCTTCAGATTCTTCCAAGATAACTTGCCAATCTTTAAAAAAGTTTTTGTTGAAAGTATTGTTCTTTACATAGTCTGTGTTAAATAATAATGCAGCATAAAATGTAGCTACTTCTTCGCTTCTGGAGTGAGTTTGATTTCAAGCCCTTTGAAAAAAGAAATCAATAATGATTATTATAAAAAATTTATAAATATAATTAAAAATTATAACAACAACAACAACAATAATATTTCCATACCATTATATTTCATCTTAATATTATGAGGAACGTATTCTGGAGGAAAACAGACGCCGTTATGAATTTGGCATTTTTATAATTTTATAAAAAAGACTTGTTAAGGGGAAAAAAAAAAAAAAACAAAATATTTATTATTATTGGCACTTGGTGTTGTACAAAGATTTTTTTTTGTTAACGTGATTTGATTTTTGAAAAACCATCTATTTTTCAATGGCAAAACGTGAATGATGTTGTTTGGTATGAGATTGGGTCTGAAGACGTGTTAATGACAGAGGTACTATTTTTTATTTGCATTGATATTTTTATTTTAGTTTATAAATATTTTAATTGCAATCAAAACGCGGAGCAGATGTGTACTTATAGACTTATCAAAGCTTTCTAGGTACAAGAGAGAGGCAATAAATTTATAAAACAAGTCAATTAATATAAAAGCTTGTGATTAATAAATGAGTGCAGCTCAAAGTTAATTCAAACTCAGCCATACATATTTTGGACATTGATTATGATATTAAACCTAATTATGCCTCATCCACAAACTTCTATTCATGTAACCTTTACAATATACAGTATATACTTTTACTATTTTGGAAAAATTGTTTTAAAATGCAAATTGGCAATATAATGTAAATCCAAAGTCGTATAATTGTCATTACACAGTAAATCTTGGTTTAAAAAAATCTGTTTGAACCGAGATATCCGCCATATCAAGAAGGTCTTTATTAAGGTTTATTACGGAACTGTTCTTTGAACTTTATCCGTAAAACTGAGATTTTTAATTAGTATCTGCTAATTCGAGATCCGCTAAATCAAGATTCACTGTGTATTAAAAAATAATTTATTATTATTAAATCTGAAAATGGAGGTTTTTTTTAATTTAATAATAATATTAAAAGAAATTCTATCGTTGATCGGCGGACCACCAATTAATCAACAAATGAAAATCTGTAATACATGAACCCAGTGTAATATCGATCTGGTGCACTCTTTAAAAAAAATTGCATGATAAAAAGCATTGTTTTGCAACTTAGGTTACCAAATTATATGTGCAAAATTTCACATCTCTAACATTTTTATTAACTAATGATTAAAACAAATAAAATTTCGGCCACAATCAACAAAAAGTGCGGTAAATGGAAGTTGATCATTTTCAGCAACCTTCCTTGCAAAGGTAAAATTTTGAATTAGTTTAAAAAGTTAAGTATCAATTATTCAAAGATTTAAGAAAAAAAAATTACAAATGCTAACTAAATAAAGTCGAAGAAAACAAATTGAATCAGGCCAGATAAAATATGTACAATTAAAGTGAAAGAAGGGGATAAGTTTATACTTTTGGCTTGATTGCTACTATAAATGGTATTTGACAATTAAATTTTATGAAGCAAGAAACGAAGAGCATTATTATAAAGCCATTAATACATTGTGTTGTTAAACAATTTTGGCTAATTTGATACCTACAAATTCTTTGTTGCAGCATGCCCCATTTTTATGGCGTCTTTTCAATAGAAAGGAACATGTTGGAAAAAAAAAATTTTTTTTCGGAGTTCTAAAAAGACGCCATATTAATATTGTCTATTAATTACATGTGTATGCATGTATATTAATATGATTGATGATCATAGAAAATTTTATCGGGAGCATCTATTAAAAATAAAGATGATATGACTCATCAATAAATTTATTTTTAATTATCGTGATTCGGAAAATTTTATTTTTAAATATTGTTGATAATTATTAATTGTTATTTTGGTTGGCGTTTCTCTCTTTCTTGTTCATCATATGCGTCATAAATGACGAAGATTATGACACAGGTCCATACCGGAATATGTCACAGATGGATAAGTATCACACCAGAAAATTGATGATCTGGGATCAGAACTCGCAAACTGATAAACACTGTATCCAGTCAATCGGATGGTTCTTTAAAAAGACTAGCTCTTGGATTATGGGTTGCAACTGATTTAATTAAAACAACATCAATGGTTTAAATCATCTTCTGCCTTTTATCAGACGGCATATGAAGGAAGATGCGGCTTCTTCTTCTAAAAAACTTCTATCCGGGAAGGCTCTTAAAATCAGATTTTAAACTGCATGTTATACATACAACAAATGCTTAATAACAGTTAATATAAAAAATATAAATAAAAAAGATTTGTGAAAATTATACAAACTACAATAAAGAGATTGGCACAGGTAAAAAAATCAACTTGACCTAGGTTAAACATGCACTAAAATGAACCAAATTTTTGAGAAATGCATATTTACAAACATTCAATCATTTACCAGTATGAGGAAATAAAAGAAGTGAATTTTCATTCTTCAATCAAGTGAGAACATATCTAAAAAAATACAATATGACTGTTGTCTCGCCGTGAATCGTCTTGATGAATTCTGCTCATGTATGCATAAATTAAGGCCAATCACCAAGATTCTAAATTTTGGTAGTTAAGAGAATAAAGGTGATAGAATCCAAAGTGAAAAGAATCCTGTTCATGGTAAAGCAAACAAGTGTAAAGGATATAAGTTCCGTCGATACGAATGTCATTGAAAATTTGCAAAATGGATATGTGTAGAGTAGTTTAAAACGCTAAACAATACAATAATGATGATTTTAGAAAAATTCAACCTAAAACTTCAAGGCAAATAAATGTTGACCTTAATTACACTATAATTACCGTTTTTTATTTCATAAATCCGCGAGAATCCTTGGTGCAAAATAGTCATATGAACATATTAGTAAAATGTGGGGATACTGTGGGACGAATCTAACAAAATCTGGGACCTTTAGATGTACAACTTGCAATTCCATCAATGACAGATATACTTTTTAAAGTATGTTACGGAAGCACAACAAGAGTTGCTCGCGATGTTGGGACTTACACACGAGACACACCTTATTGTAAGCTGTCTATGTAAGGCTTAGACTTGGTTATAGTAATAGGTTCAATGTAAGAGGAGGTTTTTCCTTTTCATTACACAAAATTAAAATTTTAAAATAAAAAAGAAGTGATACAAAATTATTAAATTATTTTTTAAAAATCACGCCCGTTTTGTTATAAAAAGTGCATAAAAATATTTAATTTTTTTTTCTAGAGATGGACTAATTAATATTTAAACATTATAATAACAATATTGATTACCAAAATCTGTTATTATTATAATAATAAAATTCATGCTCAGCTAAATACAGCAGTGTGCAATTTTTAATTGGTGTTTAAATCGATCATGAGATAAACAAATGTACTAATTTGTGAGGAAAAATAAAGTTGTGTAATTTTTATTTTTAAAAACGTAATAAGAATCGAGTGAACGAACGTACAAACTGACTAACTAACGAATGTACGAACAAACAAACGAACGAACAAACGAACAAACGAACAAACGAACAAACGAACAAACAAACGAACGAATTATTTGAATTATATTTATTTTATTTTTTTCATCTTCATTTAAAACAACACATAACAATAACACATAATTATAATACGCATCTTTATTTTGACGTTTTTTTTTTTCTAATTTAAAGAGGCAAACAAACAATTCTCTTTTTTATATATTTGAAATAGTTCTATTCTCAAACAAATTGTAGCTCCTAATGAATAATTGGTGTTCAGTTATTATACCATATGGGTTTCATAAACATTTTTATTTTAACTGCATTTATCCGAATTTGAAATTTTTATTTTGGCGGGAAAAAAAATTTAGAGAATAACTTTCCTAATATTATTTACATTAATATAAACTATAAAGTATTAAATAAATTATAATTAATACGCTGAACCAATTAATTAACATAATAACAATTAAATGATTTGCAGGTTTGCATAAATAAATTTTTTTTTATTATACTTAATTATACTTAAACTATTCTAAAAATGGATAATCAGTATTCTTGCTAATATACATTGATGTTCAAAAATTTTCAGGGACTAAAATTTAGTGACTTAGTACAAATAGTCCCCATATCTTTTGTTGTAAACAATGCTCGTTAAGCAGCATTTTAAAGTCTCTAATCTAAATAATACCAATTCAACTCCCTTTTTTGATGGTAACAGCACGGTTATTTATTAGAAAATATATATTCTAACCATATCTGATACCAATGGCTTAATATGTTTATTCAGAGCTTTCTGGCGTCATAGAACAAGACGCCAAACTATTCATCAATACTTTTCCAAATCCACAGATTTTGTATCGCCAAATGTTTGTATGATCAACGTTTTAACTCCTTATGACTTGATTCTTCATCTATACAGTGGACCTAGAACCCTCATTATTTTATTGATCTTTTTATCAACAGCCTCGCTGTTTGAAACTGCGTCTAGAGTTGTTAAGCAACCATCACGTTTAATGACTGCTCTTTCAAGTACTTTTAGAGATTTATTTTTCTAAGATAATAAATTAATAATATATATATGTATGCATACATACATATATAATATAAATAAATAAATAAATAAATAAATAAATAAATAATAAATAAATAAATAAATAAATAAATAAATAAATAAATCAAAATCCCAATTCTTACCATTAGTATATTGTTTACAAATTTTTACGGGCTTCTAACTCATCTGAACCACACTTTCTACCAATGAATTCTTTTGCCCAAACCTAAAATAACAACATGGCTGCTTATTGTCATTGATTATTCAAAATGGAAAACTAGTGCTACAAATAAGTGATAAAAATTACCATAAACCCAAATGTTGTGCAACAGCACTTTGAAAATGCTTATTATATCAATTAAAAAGTGAAATATATTTCCAAAAGTTTTAGTCCATCAATAATGAGAAATAAAGATGCAGAGAGATGTTAGTATAGAGTCTGATATATCTGGTGAAGAGTCATTTTTAGACATGCTTGTGATTTATGAGTTTATAACATCACCTCAATGGCACACATAAGCAATGTTTTGTATTGATGACGAAAATTAAATTGATGGAATTGGTGAAGCAATAAGAAAAATTTCATTGTGAACCTGGAAATATGCATAGACTACGTATGCAAAGCCTGGAACACCGGCGCCAACAACAATTTTCAAACCGTTACGCTATACAATCACTCATTCTCACCTTCAAACAAATACACTTGATACACTATGATCATCATGTGAAAAAGTAATGAACGATAAGAATACATAACTTTCGTGTGATGCTTGGTCAAAATGAATTATTGTAATGTTTAACGGTTTTTTTAATTCCTATTATTCTTTTCCAATATTCGACAGAAAACTCACCTTGAGGGAATTGTAAATTGGGCGGGTGTCTTGATGTATCTCAAGGTGATTGGGATTAAAAGATTATTAGGGTTCTTTGTATAGCTCGTCACTAAAATTTAAACCCTGAAATTTTGATATCAATTGTTTTTCATTTTGGTATAAATAAAATAAAAAAAGGCCCAAAAAATTAAAATCCCAATTAGAGACAATTTAAATTTTTTTATTGGTCTAATTTTGTTTAATTTTAGACATGCGGCCGAAAACATTACCTAAATACCTAAATTCAAAAACTTGATTTATATATATATATATATTATTATAATAAACAAAAAAAGCAAATTCGGCGTTTAAACTAAAAAAAAAAAATTTTTGTGTAATTTGTATTTTATTTTTTTAGTTATATAAATACGTGTAGTTTTCGTGAGTTTTTTTTCTTTTTTTTATTTTATTTTTCAACTTAAAGTTTGGATTAAAAAAAATAAACAAAATTTATCTATAATTTATATAACGAGCTTTAATTACTTAATTCTAAAACCGAGGTTCGAGTAAATTAAATTTAGTTGATATATAATAAAATTTATCATTTATTAAATAAAATGGACACAGATTGGTGTATTATGTGTGATTCTCATTGCAATACTTCCGTAAGTAATAATTTTTTAGAAGAGGAAAATAATATCAATCTTTATTAATAATTACTATAAAACAAACATTATATTAATATTAATATTATTTATATAAATTTTAGGGCGCAATTTATTGTTCAGAAGAATGTAAAATGCAAGATCGCTTAGAGGAATCAGTTAGAACAAAGAAATCACCGTCAAGCTACAATTATGATGTAATGAAGGCCTCAAAATTAACAGCTTCTTCGAAATTATTGAATCAACAACATCAACAATTCCTATTTTATCATCGTTCTCCTATTTCTCGTCACCAACATTATTATTATAATAAATCAGCAAAAAAAATTATTAACAACAATCTTGTTGCAATTAACAATAATCTTAACAATGCCAATACTAACAATATATCAAGATCTTTATATGTTTAACTCTCGCTAATGAAAACACTGTAAATAAACATTAAAAAAATATATAAAATATTAAAAATTAAAAATTAGATTTTTACAAAAAGGACAATCAATCAATAACTAATAATAACATATCATCATCCTCATATATACACAAAATTTTCATCTTTCAAATTCATGTACAAACTTTTCTCTCAAAATTTACATTTATTTATTTATTTATTTAATGATTTATTTTCTTTATTAAAATTATATATAGAAAAATAAAAAATTGCTGCATAAATAATAATTTTTTTCTTATTAATACGCCTTATTTCCATATAACAACTTTTGACTTGCCTAATTTTAATAAACTATTCGCAATTAATAATAAATAACATTTTTGCCGTACCAAAATCGATTAGTTTGGTTTTATTACTATTGTTGTTGTTTTGGTTCTTTCTCAAAAGATTATCTGAATATATCACGATCGCCTTCGCGCATAATAGAACTTCCTCATTGAATTAAAAAACATATAGCATTTCCAAAATTAGGAGAATAATGGAGGGAACGTGACTGATTATTCAGGAAGAGGAACCTAATGTTATACAACACAGACAATTCTGATGGATCTTACTTCTTTAAACATGATGATTTAACCATGAAGCACTAGTTCAATTGTTGTGTCGTGCACATACCGGGTGAAGAAGGTGGGTGTGATGCTCAATCTTCATCTTCTAATATTCCTCCCGATTTTAATAATTCCACATCCACATCTACCTACGTCAACTTTCTTGTTCTCTGATCCTCCCTCCTCTTCTACTTCAATCTCAAATGATATATCAATTCTTTATAGTGCAATCATCAAGCCCTAACAACCAGAAATTAGAAATTTCTTCATCAAATATATTTTATTTTATTTACTGATTTAAGGTCACGAAATTGTTATAGATAATATAAAATCTTTAAACACAAACATTTTATAGGTTTATTAAATAACATCAGAAAAGTCATTTCTACCTTGATGAGCATAATATTCAGACTATTAATGTTATTAATAATAGAAAATCACGTTAGATTTTTTTTTATTATTATGAAAAGAAACGGGACATCCTGTTATGAAAGTTTTTTGAGAATTCGAAATTAATTGACAAGTATCCTGTAGAAAATTTTATAGCTCGGTAAGAAGAAATACGAGCTCAAAATAACACTCTCAGAAACATTAAAAATCAAAACAAGAAAAAGACAATCATAGGAACATACACTTTTTAATGAATTTGTTACACATTTGATTATTCTTCAGGATAACTCGCACAAGAGTTTAGAAGAATGACAATGAATAGTAATCTCATATTATGATGTAGTTGTTATGAAAAGAAACAAGATCAAACATTTTTGATGGGCTTTTGTATAAAATATAGTCTATCCGAGATTGAGAGAGCGTGATTAATGGATTTTATTTGGTACAAGGTTTTACATGAAATAAATTTTGATTATAAAGAAAATGAAAATGAACTCATTCAAAGCTTATTATTGATAAACTTTATACAATTGTGAATTCAAAAAATTAGATGAATCGTCCACCAACAAACAAAACAAAAATATCAAATGAAAATAATCACCATCTGAAAAAGGATTCATATTTTACCCAAGTGGTTGTATGATATGTATGGTCAAACTCGAATGTAAATATTTTAATATTTGTTGTGAGGACACATCTTGTCTAAATAAGTGGCGGATGACATTGTTTGCAATTGTTAATCTGAAAGCATGGACTAGTTCATTTATTACGATCAGAAAAATTAAAATTAAAGAAAAGGGAACACGAAATTGATCATGAATTAAAAACTCAATCAACAGATGAGAAATTCTTTATTTCAGAAAAAAATATAAATAATAAATGTTTTTATTCATGAACAAGTGGAAATGTAAAATTAATTATGACATACTATCTTTTACAAGATTTTATTATAATATCAATTAGGTAACAAGTTTATCTAGATCAATCTGTTTAGAATCTAAAAAAAAAAATTTACCAGAATATAAATATAACTGATTTAAGCTTACATTAAAATTTTAAAAAATAATAATAATTAAAATGTTAATAATCACCATTATCATTACCAATAATTGTCACCTTATTAGAATTTACAGCTTTAGGAAGATCTGTAAATTCTAATAGTCTGCTGGCATAAACAGCATTTGGATGAATTGTTGTAGCTATTGTTGAAGGATCATATGAAATTTCGTCCATTTTATCAAACATTTTTCTAATTGATTTTAATTCATCAAGCTCTTTAGAATATTGATAATATTTATCTTTAGTTCCATTTATTAAACCATCATCAAATGAATCATTCCAAAAATGAATAATATCAACAATTTCTTCAGCAGATGGACGTTCATCTGGATTAGCATTCATGCATCTGTACGCTAATTCAACATAGAACTTTGGTGTGTTGTTTGAGAATCCAGGTCTTGCTCCTTCACACACTTTCATTGCAAGACCCGCATCATGTGCAAGATTACTGAATGGTTGTTGACCAGTTGATATTATAGACATCAGAACTCCAAAACTATATATATCTGATGCCATAGTATATGGTTTCTTTCCTAAAACTTCCGGTGCAACATATGGCAATACTCCAAATATATCATCTTTGTTTGACTGTGATATTTGAGCTGGACAAGATAATCTTAAGTCTGAAATATATGAATTAATGTGAGCACCACCAGATTTAGTTTGAAGAACATTGCCACTATGAAGATTGTGATGGATAACATTTTTTTGATGAATGTTTTTTAAACCTTCAATGATTTGATAAAGGATTGTAATTTTATTCACCCATTTTAACTTTTTAAAATCTTTTGTTAAATAATTTTGAAGATTTCCATCTTTCATATAATGCATTACAAATATATACTCATTTGTAACCGGATCTTGTGTTAATCCATAAATTTGAATTATATCTGATTTACTATGGAACTTGACATAATTTTTAAACTAAAAAAAAAAATAAAATATTATTATTTAATTTCAACAATAATAATCAATATAAATGAATTAGTAAACAAATAATTTACCTCATTAAGAAATGCATCAGGAATATTCTGCAAATTATGTAACTTTTTTAATGCCACGATCCTATCTTTACTACTTCTTTTACCATTAGATATATACTTCATACCATTTATCCAAGTAGCTTTGTATATAGTTGCAAAACCACCTTCACCTATCTCTTCAATATTTGTTAGATCATTATAAGGAATCCATTGAAGATAATATTCATTAGCATATTCTTTCGCAAAAAGTTGCGAACTTTTAATCGTTTCATCTATGATTTCATCACCACTACTCCACTCTTCGGTTAATAGCACTGGGTCACATGATTTACACCACGAAACATTAGTATTAAATCTATTACAAGTTGAACATTTCTCATATTTTTCCTCTCTTTCGTCTGCATAAGCATCATAATTACTTGCATTATCATGTTCTTTATCCATTTTAAAATTTGCCAAGTTTTTAGCCACAAATTCTAATTTTAGAGATCAATACGATTAATATGAGTTTGAAAAAAACTAATAATTTTTTTTCCCTAATTAGGCAATAATCTTGGTGTAATCTAAAAAAATGCCTTATTGCCTAATTAAAATGATGATTTAAATCGTCAAATATTCCAAAATCCAAAATGTTGAAGCATGCAAAGGAAATAACACTCCTAAAAATCTTGACAATTGGTACCACCCTTCAAAAATTCACATCATAACTTGGTTCCTGAAGATGATTATTATTATCAATTTTTTTTCTGGAGACCAAAACTTATAATGGCGAAACTAAATCAAAGGTTGAAAATGGAGGTTAAGAAAAATGTGTTGCTATGTAGCTAGAGCTACTATTGTGATAAACGTAAAATTAGTTTTTGTTCTCATGATGACAGGTATTATTAAAATCACCAGAGAATATTTACTTATATATTTTATTATTACAGTCAGGTTTTTTTCCAAATTTGGAAATCGATTCTAGAAAAAATTTATCGATCAATTCATATAACAAATGGTTTAACGTGATACCTCCATGCATGCTGAAAAAAAATTTTATTAAAAAAATTTGTATTATAATAGTTGAAACAAATTCTTTTGAATATATACTTTAAGGATCACAGAAAATTCACAAGGTACATGAAGATATTATTTGAAGAAAATTTCATTTTTTTAGTTCTTTTAAGTGTAAATTCATAAATTTATGTACATTAGAAAAAATATTTTTTTGTTTTTTTAATATATATACCTTAATATTTATTTAAGATGGCGAATTCAAGACCAGCTGGTGAATTAACTTGTCTATTTAAAGCCCTTGCTAGAAAATACCCAGAAAGTTTGTTATTATGTGAAACAAAAGAAAATCAAATATGGAGATTTGCATCCAGGGATGCAGCAGTTAAAAGAATAAATATCACGGCTAAATATTTTCCTGAATTGTTTTTATTAATTGATTTTTTAGATGATTATTCATTATGTCAAAAACATTATAATCAGGTTGTTGCTAAAGATCTTTTACTTAAGAATTTTTAAAAAAACAGATACATTAATAACTTCTTTAGAAGAAACAGAAGAAAATAATCAAAGAAAAAGAATAAGACATGAGGCTCAAGTTACTTTACCAGACCCAGAAGTAATAAGGCTTACAAGAGAGTTGTCAGATACTCAAAAAAAAATAGAAGAATCAGAAAGACAGAGAATATATTACATTGACATTATCAAGAAATATGAACAAATAATTGAAGAGCTAAAAGATAAAAATACAAGGTTACTATCCGAGAATGAAAGGCTAAAAGAGAAATTAAATGCAACATTTGATGATCAACAGTCAAGAATTGATTCCATTACAATAATTGCTCAGAAAGAACACAAAAATTTATATAATGATATCATTAACTTAATTAATGATAAGGAACAATTTAGTTTAGATAGTCTTTTGGAGTATTCTACTTCTGAATGGCTTTTTAAACAAAATCCTGTTATTGTCAAATTTCTGGAAACTCTCCTGTTTTGTGATAATGATAATGACAATCAACTTAACAAAGAAAAACTTTTTAAATGTGCTGTGGCAATTGATGCTATTTATGGAGCAAGGCATTTAAAATTTGTGTCTGCAATCAATTTAGCATCATCAGCAGTTAAATATTCAATAGCCAAATCAAGTAAAATAATTGATATTGATAATCATTTCTTAAGTTCTGGTGGTTTCAACAAATTTATTCAGTGGCAAGAAGATTTAGCTCACAAAGCTACACCACTTTCAAATGGTTTATTATTTTTGGCATTTGACAATGAACAAAAGGGACAAAAAAACTACTTGGACCATGGAAATAATACAGTAATTTTCCATAATGTTACAAGTTTTATTTCATTTAATTTTGATCTGTAACAATCCTCGAAACAATATGTCACACAAATGGCATTTAATTTTATTACCATATTTGGTAAGAGGAATTCATATTTTTTTTTATCGTTTAATTTAAATTACTTGGCAATCGGGATTTTTGGTTAAAGAATTATACATATTATTATTATTATTATCATTATTATTTTTATTAAGAAAAGTGGATATTATATTGTTATGTTATATTGTGGGGAATATAATCATATTATTATTTTATTTATATTATTTATAATTAAGAAGTTATCTTTAATTATGATCAATACTTTCTGGGAAGTCTATAAGCTTCCATACAATATATAGATTATATATTTATTTATTTATTTATTTCTTTATGATTTATATTTGTATTTTAAGAATTGTATTTTTATTATTTAAAGATGTAAAATTCAAACAAATAAAGATAACTTTTTTATAATTTTACAACAATAAAATTATCAGTGTTAAATAAATATCTAAATGTTTGTAAATAATCATGATAATTATTTGAACGTTTACATGATCCCACTAATAATATACAGGTTATTGAAGACCCTTGGTTACATCAAAATTAAATTCATTACAGATTCAAGAACTTTTTGAATCACACCAGATATGCAAGCATTGCTTGATAAAGAACTTCAAGATTATCTATCTGTTATCTTATATGCATCCTACAACAATACTTAATTTATCTATCAAACTTTATTATGTATCAATAGACTGTGGAAAAGTAATTGTAGGTGGTGGAGTCTTTGTACCCATTATTTCTCACAAGAAATCTGCTTGATCTTGGGTTCTTATGCTTACTGTACTCATGCAATCTATGATCTTTTTCTATTTTCAAATAAAGATAACGAGTGAAAATAATGCATTTTGCTGTTGAACTTAAAAACAAAATGAGGGTAAAAACATACTTTCAGCCTCCGCACATTAGCCAACACCCTGATAAGGTCTTTTATTTTTTCGACTGTAACTGGCACCTCAAGGAGCTTCTCTTGGCTTAATATTGCCACATACCCTTTAGCAGTGTTGTGCAATTGGAACATTGTAATGCTATTGGAATGTTCCAATGTAGATCTTCAATTGATATTAACTAATAAAATTCGTGTGTATGACACTATAATTGAATTTCATTGGTTAACTTCATTGGAACCACATTTGGAATGTTCCAATTCCAATTGGAATTTATTAGAATGCTCCAATGAAATTTTATTGGAACCATAAATGGCACAACACTGCCCTTTAGGACTACTCATTTGCAAAACTTGCAATTTGAGACCTATAAGTCAAATCAAATCAGTTTACTTTGGAAAAAGTGCTAAAGACTGCAGATTAATTATTTACTTACCCATGTGAAGCATGCCAGCAACTCGTAGTTGTCTTACTTTTGTTTCTTCAAAATGAGCTTGTTCACTCAGGTATACAATGATGTCATGCATAGCTTTCGTTAGTTTAAACCCATCAGTCAACAATTTGGTTGCATCAAACTTCTTGGGCCACTTCAATTGCTCCATACTCAGCCCCATCAATATACATTTGGAGTATCCCATCCATCTGATATACCATCTTTTTATGTTTTGGTTTTTTGTGATGTGTACATGTTCTCCTTGAGTTTTTTCTCATGGCTACAGCTATACTTGACAATTCCTTTCTATAAAAGAAGTAAAGTCTGGTGCCATAAAGGTAGTAATTGTATTTATGGCATATAAAAAGTGGTTGCAATTACTTTTGTGGCCACTTTTGCAACCATACTTTTCCTTTTTTGGATTACAGCACTAGTCTTTAGAAAGAAGTAAATCAAAGAGTCTAATAATACACAGAAGTAGTTATGACAATTACAGGAGACATGTACCTGACCATTTCCAATCCAATCACATCAGAGAGACCATGATTGACAATAAGGGACCACACATTTATGTCATACCAGGACTCGAGATGTTGCTTTTGCAGTGTTTCATTAGGGTCTTCATAATATGTAAGACTTTGGTAATAAATAAAAATATAAGTTATTAAGACTTTGTAATGACATTGCTAATAATAAAAAAATACACACAACTTCCTCATCACAATTTCAGCCCATTCAGCATCGTAATGTTTCACTCAATCATAAGGCTCATTCCTATCTTTAAAGGAAGTTTCTTCTAAAATCTTTCGTAATTCATTTGTAGTTCTAACCTGAAATTAATAATAATATTAAGTTTGAACAAATGGAAAAAAAGCCAGTTATCTTCAACTTACATCTGAGAATCGCATCATAGATGCTGCAAAAGAATGATCGACCTCTAGCAATTTTTTGATTGCATCTTGGATTTCATTTTGTTCTTCAGCTGTATAACATGGCGATTCGTGCTTCTAAAAAAGAACCATACGGCCATACTGGTTAGAAATTATTGGTAATTATATCTATGATTTCAGTTTCTATGGATAATCAGAATTTGAAAAAAGCATTCTCAATGCAAACTACCACACCTCATCCTCGGATGCTAAAAATGGATTGTTTTCAATTGCCTCTTGACTTGATCAAAATGAGTGATATGTATTAATCACATATAGCAATGGATGAATTTGATGATACTACAACAACTTACATGTGTGTCTCATTTTTGTCATTTTCGATGCTTGATTTTATCTAAATTAAGAAAATTGTTGAATTAAGTAAGCTAATAATCAGCTCCAAAATTGATAGCAACTACTGACTTTTGTTAACCGTTTTGATGGGCTTGTTTCATATCTGTCCAAAAATCTCTTGGTAACTCTGGTAGTAGTTGAACTTATATATTTCTTCATGTGCTGGGTCACCTCATCAGCTATAGTCAGATCTATTAATAGTATTAAACTAGGAATTTAATGGTTGGATCGAAATACCAGTTAATATGAATAATTCGCTAACCTCTATGCATTCAAATTTTTCGTTATTGAGTTTTTTATTTATAAGCACCCAGAAATTATCCATACTTATGGAGGATTTATTGTTCTTTTATGGGAAAGAAAACATAAATTAGTATCAAGCTAGATGGCCTATTTTTTGAACCAAAAAAAAAGAAGCATGAGTAGACTATAGCATGGAATGTGTCCTGACAACCAGTTGGAATGTCTCCATCCAATTGCGTTATAGCAGCAACTATGTAATCTATTCAGGAGCACCCGAGGGAAGATGTTACTTCACTCTCACCAACCAAGGCATTACTCAGCTGACTACTCGGGATTTGTCAATATGTCATGTATTTTGTCTTGGGACCAGAACATACTCTAGCTCTGAACCTACTCTAGCCCTTGAACTTATCTCGATTAATGATAATAAAATATAAATACACTCGACCTTAAAATTCAAAAGGAGTTCACGAGCAAGGGTGTGTTGTTTTGATAATGAGCTTAATGCTTCCCTGTATAACTTATGTTCAGTTCCTTTGTCATATGTAAAGTCATCAGCCTTTGTTCTGTGTTGAAGAAAGTAAGTAGCGACCAAGTTTTACTTTTGTTAAAAAAATTTTCTATTATATCCTGTATTTTTGATATTTCACACAACATTTTGTGGCATTAAAAAAAAGATAGCTTGACTGTAATATTATATTATGAAAATATTTTTTTTGTATTCATGAAATTCTGCACCTTGTAGATGAAAAATATTAATTCGTAATCTGTGAAACAACTGCAAAAATTTGCCGATCATTAATATGTTTTTGTGGTGGTAATAAACATTATAATTTTTCAGGAGTTTTGAGAATCTGACATTACCTCACGTGATCAACGTGAGTCAATAAAATTACATGACCATGATAATTTTTATTTTATTTTAAAAAGAGTAACTATTAAAAGCTAAATAGAAATAACATATTTATATTTTTCTTGAATAAAATTAATTCTACAACCATTTTTACATCATAAATATTTTTAGTTGCTTACTCAAACCTTTAAATTTTATATAGTAATTTTAGGCAGGAATCCAGCAACTCCTACATATAAACATAAAATATTTTATAAGAAAGTCCCTTTGAAAATTTGCATATTTAAACTTCAAGATTCATATCATGTGTTAAAAGTACAATTTTAGTTTATATCAACATAAAGGGTGGTTATGTTGGGGGGAAAGTTGGAGTCCAGAAAATTTTAATTAGTGATCTGCAAAATTTTGCAGATGTTTCACAGATCACGAATTAACTTTATATTTCAAGGGGTAAAAATCCTTTATTTTGTCCTCAAAATGTGATTTTTTTTTAATTAAGATTAAATAAATAAGATAATAGTACTGGTATGATTCAAAAATCACTAAGGTTTTAGTCAATTTCCTAATAAATGCAATCCTTTTGGAAGTTTAGATTATTTACAACAAACATATTGTTTTTTATTTTACCATTGCTGAAAAGGTTATATGTCTGCTTTTTATTTAAAAGGGTCATCCTAAATACATAAAGGTTCTTTTTTTCTTAAATACAGAACCCTACAAATTAGTATAAGATTTTCATGGTGAAAATCACTCATGCCTCCATAAGACTTTAGTAACTTTAGTAACATGTGTTATATAGACAATAATTAAATTATTATTTATTTTTGTTAACAATACCAATACAAATTTATTAACACATAGATGAAAGAAAATATAGATGATAGAGAGGTTAGTTAGCCATCATTTAAAATGTATTATTAATTATTATTATTATTATATCAGTATATTGTTATTAACATGAATGTATCACTGAAATGTAGAATTTGTAAGTCATGTGATAGAAAAAAATTTATTTTAATTTAAATAATACAATAAAAAAAATCAAATAAATATGGTCAGTGTATAAAAACTTGCTGATCAATTTTTGTGCATGTTGTACAATATTTTTTGAGGAATTGTGCAAAAGTTGTTTAAAAATTATGCATGTATGCACAAAAAATTGTAAGTAGTGTAGTTTTTTTGATTTTTTTGTGCATTATACATAGAAAAATGTAATAATGCAAAAGGTTCTCATTGAATTTGTGCACTATATTTAAAATTTTTGTTTAGAGTCTGCACAAAAATATTTATCTCATTGTGCACAGTTTAAGGGGGTTATGCACATGAATTTTATACACTGAATATGGTGCAAGTCACCTAGTCCCACAACTTACTGCGCCTCGTGGACAATTTTGGGAAAAATATCAAATCTCAGAATTGTAAGTTGAAGAGACTGAGCCATAAATATAATAGTAAATAATATAGAAAGTATCACGGCAGATACTTAAGATATTATAAATATCATTGAGATGTGCTGGCTCAGGCAGATAACAAAGGACTGCTGAGAAAATGTTACCAGATAGGGAGAAATAAAACTTGCCCTGTAAACAGATTAATAGCTTGAGTGCTATTACAGCCATAAATAAAGAGAGAGTAATTAAGAATTAAATAATTAGATACTACCATAAATCAAAATAAATATTATTTTAACCAAATAAAGAGATTTGTGAGAGATGCGGATTTTTGATCTCACAATACAATTATGATGTTAAAAACAATATTGATCCCTGAAATTCTTTGGTAATACCAATGTTCACTTTGTCTGGTTTTGTTGCAGCATGCCCCATATATTCTTTTGTAATTGGGTCTTGTGTTAATCAATAAATGTGAATTATATTTTCTTTATCATGAAGCTCATATAATTTTGGACTAAAATAATAAATAAAATGTTTAATTACAACAATAATAATCTGAAGCCAATACTAATAAATAATTTGAATTATGTAATTTTTTAATGACACAGTTCTGTTTATACTAGTTCATTTGTTATTTTCATAATTTATACTCTTCAAACTATTTAACCAAGCTTTGTATATAATTGCAAACCCACCTTCACATATCTTTTAATATTCGTTAGATAATCATAGTTGTTACATCTTTTTACTTTAAATTGTGCTTTTTTAATCAATTGATCTAATGCTTCATTGCCACTAGTCCATTGCATTATTGACACCATGCCAAATTAGTAATTTTCCATACCTTTCATCCCCTCTCTTTGATCATTTTTTTCAGTAAAAGTATCATGATGTTTATTTTCATTTAAAGTGTTTTCCGTTCTAAAATTTATTTATATTTTTATTTGTATAATTTGTCAAAAAAAATTTTTTTTCCCAGCTACAAATGTATATCACGTGAACAAGTGGACAGATGGATTAAAATATAGAACAAGCAATGATCATCTTTATTCGTTATATCACTCATTACTCACTATCAAGGTAAAATTATCATAATGATAAATGGCATATTAATACATTAATATATAAAAATATCCGGTAAACCAAATATTATATAAAAAATCAGTAATATCAAAGTTAAAATAATTATAAGCGGATTCGATCCTGAAATTTTATCCGTAAAAATCGAGGACCACTAAATCGTGTATTTAGATTTTATGTAATAAATTTTCTAATATTTTTTTTTGTTCTTCAACATTGACAATTAATTTACCGACAATTAACTATATATTTGCTATTTGTAACTTCGTAAATAATACGGTGAGACGGATTAAACAAATAGAGCATGCATTTACTCAAAAGATTAAAATCTTGGACATCAATATTAATTAATAAAAATTTGTTTTTATAATATGTGCTTATTGATAATAACAATGACAAGATTTTATATTTTATTACCTAATTGGGTAATCCATCCGGTATAGTTGATTCAATTTAACATAAAAATGGATGTTAATAAACTAATAACAAAATCATAGATTTTAAAAAATGAAAATAATCAATGATTAAATGTTAATAATTACCATTATTATTACCAATAATTGTCACTTTATTGGAATTAATAATTTGGGGAAGACTTGTAATTTTAATAATCTGCTAGTGTAAACAGCATTTAGATGAATTGTTGCAGTGATTGTTGATGAAATTCCGTCCATTTCATCAATTACTTTCCTGGTTGGTTTTTTAATACCATCACTAAGTAAAATTAAAACTTTCATTGCAGTTGTATGTTCATCTGGATTGGCATCCATACATCTGTAAGCTAATGCAATATAGAATTTTGGTGTGTTATTTTAGAATCCAGGACTTGCGGCCTTTGCATATTTTCATTGCAAGATCTTCATTATATGCCAAATTATTGAATAGTCGTAAAGAGGATACGAGTAAGAATAAACGTAGGATCTATATAGGCAATTTTTTCAAATAATAAGTTTCTTTAACATAACTATTAACCCTGATGATCATTCAGTACAAAATACAAATAACGACATTATAAATGATTTTAATGATACTCCGATTAATAATGTTAATAATGTTAATAACATCCAAATAGGGATTGGAACCAGGTTGGGTACATCCAGATCAGGGTACTCGGGTAAGGTTTTTTTGGACAGGTACAATCTCTAGTGGATATCAAATTTTTAAAAATCCTTTAGACTCCATTTCAATCCCCCCACTTATGCAGCCATTAAGAAAGATTTAAAATTTATCGTTATGCTTCTTATCGATAAGTTTATTAAAAATAAATATTTTTTATTTAAAGCATAACTCAATGAAAACTTTTTGACATGTAAATTCAGAAACTTAGTATTAGTATTAGCAATCTCTGTCCATATTCTAGTTTCACTCGAAAAACTTTTCTTTACATTCTAGTCATAAAAATGAATGGAATCTCTGTCCCTCGATCAAATTTAAAGCTTCGAATAACCTTTTTTTTATCCAAATTCAAATACACCAGATTTTTTTACATTATATTGACCGAAAAAATTTGAATGTCTCTAAATCTAACCCACTCGGCGTTAATAAGCCATATGGTTTATCATGAAATACAAAACTATCAAAACCCAAATAATATAAAGGTAAATGACGCGTTATGGTGAACCCACCAGAAGAAAAGGTTAAATTGGAGAATATAGGACATTTGCATGTAATATTTTTGATGACAGCAATTAATAGTTATTAGAAATAAATAAAGAATTTGTATTTGCTATATAATTGACTAGCCAATTCGTGATGTGAAAGTGTACAGCCATGAGTTATATATAATAAGTTGGACACATTCCGAGATATGCTTTATGCTTATTATCACAAAGACCAATGTATGAGAAAAATTTCGTAAAATTAGTAATTCGAATAAATTAGTAATTTCTCGAGTATTTTTCACATCATGTCAATTGTAAATCTTCAGAAACTTTTCGAACAAAATTGTGGCTTAAAAGACACTGTTTAGTACATTTTACCAATACTCAATTCAATCTACCAATAATTCTACACAAAAATTGAAATACACCATCCTCTAATCCAATGACAAATTCAACGCAAATAGCCAACACATCCATCATTTGCACCACCAATCCTTGTGTTGCTGTAAATCATCTGTTATTTTTCCAAAAAAAAAGACTGTAAATACATATAATCTCTCTATTTCGTCTCTATAAAAAACCTTTAAATAGTTTTCTAAATTCATTCAAACCTGGAGCGCTGGATGGTATAATTGAAGTGACATGCTGAAGTTGTCAAAAGAGTGGTAGTTGAGCATTTGGATTTCAAAATAAAGTGGCTTGACAAATAAATAATTTTTAGACAAATGGAAAGATGTGTGTTCGCTGTATAATTTCTAATCATCATGTGAATTTATTTTATATTAATATATAGTAATAGTCAGATGATACTGGTTACGTTATATATAAACACGTGATAATTTGTACTACTATTTTGGGACGACAATAAAAATATTCCTTTTTTCTTGGAAAGTCAAATTTCTATTTAGCTTTTTTTTAAAAAATAATTATCAAAAAAAAAAAAATGTATGCGGACCAAAGAACAGAAAATCTTAAGACATTATTGTCTATGTTTCCTGATGTTGATTCAGAAATTTGTGAAGCAGTTTTAGCATCAAACGATAATGATTTGGAAACAAGTATAAATACTTTATTAAGTATAACTGACCCAAGCTATGTTCCTCCAGAACCTCCTGCTACTATTACTACTCCAACACCAGAACAACAACCATTACAAACACCATTATCAACAAAAAGAACAGTAACTACTCCATCCCCATCACCAAGATCACCATTTGATCAAAAAACTACTACAACTGAAGTAAATAAATAAATTTTATACGCATATATACATTTAATAAACATACATATAAATAATAATCATACTTACATATATTTTTAGTCTCGTTTTTTTGTAACTAAAGAAGAACAGATAAGACGTGATGAAGAACTGGCAAAAAGACTGGCCGCCGAAGATCAAAGTAACTAAATAACTAACTAGATATTTAATTAATTAATTAGTTGATTGTAATAAGTAATTAATATATATATATTTTATTTTATTTAATAGTTGAATATGTGGAAGAGCACAGATCTACTCAACAACACCGTAGACAACAACAACAGCAAGAAGAGGAAGATCAATCATCTCCTTTTTCTGATTTTACAGAAGAATTGCCTGTTATTAAGGAAAAGATTGTTCAAGCTGCCGATAGTAAGTATTCAAATTACACCATATATATTAAATTACAGTGTTATTTTCCTATTTCTCCTTCATTTATTTATTTATTTTAAAATAAAAGCCACTAAAAAGAAAGTCAAAGAATGGTACGAAAAATTGAAACAACAATCGGTAGCATTACGTAACGAATACGGTTACGATAATGATAATGACAACAATAACAATAATCAAACTCAAAACCAAAACAAAAATTCTCAATATTCAAATTTACCCCATGATGAATCTGATAATACTTTGCTTAGTGAGGATTTTACCACTTCTTTGAACAACAAAAGTAATCGTCGCCAGAATCTTGGTGGTTTTACTAGTGATAGTAAAAGTAATAATTATAATAATAAAAGTAATATCTATGATAATG